GAAAACGAGTTCAAAAACACATTCCAAGGTAAAGAGTGTAACAGTCTTTCCAAGGTATACGTAAAAGGCAAAAGCGAAAGTAGATCCACAGCACAAGCTTCAAAAGTCATTCCAAAATCTAGGTTGCAGTCAGAGTATTCCTGAGGCTGCAATAAACAAAGTCCCAAAAATTGTTGGAGAGGTCGCCAGGAGGTGGGTACATATATACATATGTGGTGGCAATGGAAATATGTAAATGGATTTTGGGGGAAGGTATTTGGAGAGATAGAAGCTATAATGAATATTAAGATAGGGGTTGCATTGTTGTCACTATATAACGTTAAGGAATTGGGGGGGGGGACAGAGAAAGATGCAATACATCACATGTTAACTGCAAAAAGATTGGGTTGTTGTAGGTTTTTTCGGGCTATATGGCCATGTTCTAGAGGCATTCTCTCCTGACGTTACACCTGCATCTATGGCAGGCATCCTCAGAGGTCGTGAGGTCTGTTGGAAACTAGGCAAGTGGGGTTTATATATCTGTGGAATAACACCCAGGGTGGGAGAAAGAACTCTTCTCTATTGGAGAGGTAGTGAGGTTGTTGTAGGTTTTTTCGGGCTATATGGCCATGGTCTAGAGGCATTCTCTCCTGACGTTTCGCTTGCATCTATGGCAAGCATCCTCAGAGGTAGTAAGGTCTGTTGGAACTAGGAAAATGGGTTTATATATCTGTGGAATGACCAGGGTGAGACAAAGGACTCTTGTCTGCTGGAGCTAGGTGTGAATGTTTCAACTGCAGACAAGAGTCCTTTGTCCCACCCTGGTCATTCCACAGATATATAAACCCTTTTTTCCTAGTTCCAACAGACCTCACTACCTCTGAGGATGCTTGCCATATATGCAGGTGAAACGTCAGGAGAGAATGCCTCTAGACCATGGCCATATAGCCTGAAAAAACCTACAACAACCCAGTGATTCCGGGTTGAAAGACTTCGACAGTACATTGCAGCAAGATTACTTATAGTGAAGAATTGGAAAGGTAAAATAAATATATCAATTGAAGAATGGTATAAAGAACTATGGAAAATAGCAATAAACGATAAATTGACATGGATGGATTAAAAGAAGTAGATGGGAAATTACCTCCACAAGAAGAAATGGTATTTTGGAAAGAGAATGTAAATTTAACTGGCTCAGGAGGGGGGGGGGCACAGAGGTGAAAAAAAAGTATACAATATATATATACACTTATAGTTGATGTAATGAATTGAGGATGGAATAAAAGAGCATTGGAAGGTATTGAAGGTATTGATATATTCTAAGAAAACCAATATATATATATATTTTAAAAAAACAATGTCCCAAACTGACAGGAAAGCAAAAATCCACAAAACTTAGACTAAAACTGTATACAAACGAGATTCCCCAATCCCCATCAGGAAAACGTGACATGAAAGCAAGGCCAGAATCTCTGTTCATGGAGCACAAGGAAAAGCTGACTTTCTTCAGAAAATGCAAAGTGTTGCACTCCAGAGCAGGTGTTGCATCCCAGTTCAAGAAACGAGACCATAAGATTAAATCCACCACACTGGACTGTAGGAAAAGCAATCCTTGTTTATTGATGAAAAATTGGTTACAAAAGAAAGGTAAATGCAAAGTCAAAAAGCCACAGAAAAACACAGCAGTCAGTAGAGTCTCTGAACTTGAGCAAAATTTCAAAAGCCACAATACAAGAACCAGGAACCTGTTAGTCTTTTACTAACCATGAACTTGATAACTACAAGCCTCTGGGATTACCGGCCATGAAACACAGGAATTCTGCCAAGGCACAGCCACAGTCCCAAACGTTGCTTGATCTAAAGAGGCACCCAGCAGGAGGCCTCTTAAACCAAAGAAGCTATTCTTTGAAACGCCCCTTGACTTTGAAGCCTGGGCCTGTCTCTCCTGTAAACGATGTGACCTTCGTAGAAACTGGGAATCATTTCTGTCTCTAACTATCTGTTCTCTTCGGTCCTCATTAAAAACCCCAGGTGGAGAGATATCACGGCTAACCTCCAAAACATTTTCCTCCAGCTGTTGAGTTTCATTTTCATCCCCGCTGACCTCTGCATCAACAACAGATTCCACACTGTCAGGGTCAGGGAGAGCTTGCTCAGTTGGAAAAACTATCAGAGAATCTGGTTCACACAGATCAGGATCAGGCTGAACCCCAAAAGCAGGATCCCCTCTGGCTTTAAACACCACACGGTTGGGTTAAAATAGCAAGCAGTTTATTGAAGGTAATAAAAGCCAAAACAATAAAAACTAATCCACAGTAAGAGGCAAATCCAATTGATTAGGAAGAAAAAAGGAGCAATTAGTCCAAGGAGAAATGGTCTCCAAAAGTCCATGAAACTAGATACTTGAATTCAAAGGCAAATAACAGCAAAGGCACTTAAACCAGTAATCAAACTAAGACAAGAATCCAGTAACTTGGCAGGAAGAACTTCACGTGAATCCAACGTTGATTCGTCTGAAGCTAGATTCTGTACCTGGCACTTTTATCCCTGCCCTATTTCCCAAACAGCTTAGAACGGATTTTTTCCTTAACTTTGGTTTCAGTTCTAACTTCTGCTGTAATCTGGCTGAGTGCCTTAATTTCTGATTTATTTGTCTTTGCTGGCTAAAAACACTTCTTCTGTTCAAGGCTTCATTAAAATCTGCACCTGGAGAGAACTGACCAGGGGACTGCAGCGCAGAGCCTTTTCCAGGCTCAAGACCTTGAGAATCCTCTTGCAGCAATACAGGCCTCTCCGACCCATCATCTGCATTGCATTCAGGCCCCACATCTCTAAAACCAGGCCCAGAAAACAGACCACCATCCCCATTCCCTTCAGAAACATCTTCATGGACAGCATCCCCATTCCCATCAGAGGAATCAACTTGAACATGAACAACATTGTCAATCCCATCATCCAAAACAACCTGATCATGAGACACAATCACAGGCTGAGCAGGCTGACATACAACACAAAGAGCAATCCAAGGGTCAGCTTAAGAAACTAAATGGGTTCCCGTGGAGACACTATCTAATTAACACCTGGAATCCCCCTGTTTATCTTTTAAACGCTGAGAAAACCTTAATTGCCCATGCTTGGCACTATCTCTCTGTCACTGAAGCCTCTGGCAGAGTCTCCTATGAAACATTCTCACAAAAAGCACATCTGTCTGCAGAGGCGGCCCTAGGAAATTTTCAATGGTAAGCAAACAGTATTTTGCCCCCCCCCCCCAACCAATCACTGATATATATTTTCTGTTCGTCGTGGGAGTTCTGTGTGCCATATTTGGTTCAATTCCATCATTGGTGGAGTTCAGAATGTTCTTTGATTGTAGGTGAACTATACATCCCAGTAACTACAACTCGCATATGTCAAGGTCTATTTTCCCCCAAAAGCGCCTCAAGAGCACCCCTGGGCAACATCAACTATACCGCGAATGCTTACTTTGCGTAATGGGTTGAACCGCCCCTGTCTGTATGTAAAGCCATTCCCATAATCCAGGGAAGAACTACTTTCTCCCTGAGGCACTACGGAAGTGGTGGGCTCCAATTCAGGAGCACAAGGCCGCATCAAAGGGTCCCCTTCTTCCTCCTCCTCCTCCTCCTCCTCCTCCTCCTCCTCAGATTACTCCTCAACACTGCCCCTTGTTGTTGTTCATTCATTCAGTCGTCTCCGACTCTTCGTGACCTCATGGACCAGCCCACGCCAGAGCTCCCTGTCGGCCGTCACCACCCCCAGCTCCTTCAAGGTCAATCCAGTCACTTCAAGGATCCATCCATCCACCTTGCCCTTGGTCGGCCCCTCTTCCTTTTTCCTTCCATTTCCCCCAGCATCATTCCTCTTCTCAAGGCTTTCCTGTCTCCTCATGATGTGGCCAAAGTACTTCAACTTTGTCTCTAGTATCTCTTCCCTCCAGTGAGCAGTCGGGCTTTACTTCCTGGAGGATGGACTGGTTGGATCTTCTCGCAGTCCAAGGCACTCTCAGCACTTTCCTCCAACACCACATCTCTCTTCCTTGGCTCAGCCTTCCTTCCCTAAGGTCCAGCTCTCACATCCGTAGGTGACTACAGGGAAGGTCATGGCTTTGACTAGGCAATGGATCTTTGTTGCCAGTCTGATGTCTCTACTCTTGACTAATTTATCGAGACTGGACATGGCTCTCCTCCCAAGAAGGAAGCGTCTCCTGATTTCCTGGCCACAGTCTGCATCTGGAGTAATCTTTGCACCTAGAAATACAAACCCTGTCACGGCCTCCACATTTTGTCCCTCTATTTTCCATTGCCCTGCCCCTAGTTGAGGGCGAATCAGCATTCCCTTCCAGACCCATTTAACAGTGATTGGAGTGGCTGAAGGAAGCAGGATTTTGGGCCTGGAGAAGAGGCGCCTCAGAGGGAGACCATGAAAGAGATCTTCAAAGGCCTGCCTTGTCTTCTAAGGCTGTCCCAGAGGGCAGGATCCCAATGGTAAGAGAACAGATTCTGCCCAAAGGTTAAGGAGGAGGACAATGGGGACAATGCAACAGCCCACCTGGGAGGCCTTCAAGTAGAGGTTGGCTGACCCTCTGTCAGGAATGCTTGATGGAGGCACCCTCCGTGGCCATGGGGCCAGACTGGATGGAAATAGGAGTTGTTGTCCCCCCCACCCCCACCCCACCCTGTGACCCAAGACTGGCACAGAACAGCCTTCCTTCTTCCTGCCTCCCAGCTCCTTCTGGGCATAAATAAGGCAACAGTTGTGATGTTTTCACCTCCCTGAGGCTCTGAAGGACGAGTATGAGGTCTGGATGGGGGAGATCATGCTCCCCACACCCAAGAGGCCACAAATGGATCTCTAAAGCAGAACTGCTCCAATGCCAGGCTCCCCAATGCAATCCCAGCAAGGCCTTTGCCCAGTGCTGACCTTCTCCTGGAGTCAGCTCAGAGCCCAAGTCCATGAGTCTCCTTATGGAGAGAAAAAGTGGGGTATACACATCATCATCCTACCTGGTGAGGGCTCTTCCTGGCTGGGGGGCTGGTCTGACTCTCCCCTCGCTGGGCCTGGCAGCAGCAGGAGAACAAGGGCCAGGAGGGTGGCCGGAGCCAAAGCCGGACCCATCTTGCCTCCTGCCGCCTCCCTCCACCCAGAGGAGAAGGAGGAAGTGCTCTGTCCTTCTTTCTCTGGCTGCTTCTTCTTCTTCTTCTGAAGGGCTTCCTCTTCTCTGTAGCCAGAGGACGGGAGGGGGGCTGGCCCCACTCTGAGCCACGCAGACCCTTCTTCCTGGGCCCCGTCTTGCCCGTGACTCAGGGAGAGCCCTCCCTCCCCAACGCAGGCATGGCCATGAAGACTGGTGGCATTTCTGAGACATTCCCTCCTTCATTGCCCCCATTTCATAGAATCGTTGAGTTGGAAGAGACCTCTTGGGCCATCCACTCCAACCCCATTCTGCCAAGAAGTCAAGCCCTGCTCAGGTCTTGCAAGTCAAGGCAGTCTCCGGGCTTCTCCAGTGAATCGCATCCACTGGAATGAGATCTTTGTCTTTTCCTGCCACCTTTTACCTCCCCTTTTACCTGTCTAGAAAGCCCTGCTTTCTCCTGATGCGCCCGAACCAGGACTTTGAGGGAGAGCTCAGACCTGGCTTGCTCTCAGGTCCATGGGCTGGAGTTTTGTTATCACTCCAGGGCATCCACAGGCACCACGGTTCAAGGCATGGGTCTTCTTCTCCATCTGTGGTTGGTGCAGCTGGGGATGATGGTGAGGGAGGTGGGCTGGAATGGGTGAGGACAGCAACACCCTGAGCTCCTGAGAGATATTGACTCTAAGCTGGAATGTGTCCAGAGGAGGGCGACTAAAATGATCAAGGGTCTGGAGAACAAGCCCTATGAGGAGCGGCTTAAGGAGTTGGGCATGTTTAGCCTGAAGAAGAGAAGGCTGAGAGGAGATATGATAGCCATGTATAAATATGTGAGAGGAAGCCACAGGGAGGAGGAGGGAGCAAGCTTGTTTTCTGCTTCCCTGGAGAGTAGGACGCAATGGAACAATGGCTTCAAACTACAAGAGAGGAGATTCCATCTGAACATGAGGAAGAACTTCCTGACTGTGAGAGCCGTTCAGCAGTGGAACTCTCTGCCCCGGAGTGTGGTGGAGGCTCCTTCTTTGGAAGCTTTGAAGCAGAGGCTGGATGGCCATCTGTCAGGGGTGCTTTGAATGCAATATTCCTGCTTCTTGGCAGAATGGGGTGGGACTGGATGACGGCCCAGGAGGTCTCTTCCAACTCTAGGATTCTAGGATTCTATGAATGGATGAGGGTCTCCAGCCTCTGCTGAGCCTCCTGTCCAGTGAAGTCCTGTTCAAGGTGGTCCACTGTGTCCAGTGGGGGGGTTCCCCTTCGACTGTGACCGGAGGGGCTCCCAGTGACCCTGAGACCACTTCTGGGCTTGAGAAAAGGAACCTCCTTAGCCAGGGACCTGGGCCAGAAGGGAATCTTGTGCAAGTCCACCTATGGAAGCCGCCAGGCATTGGGTTCCGATGCAGAACATTCCCATTCAAGATTGCCCATGTGCCGTTCATGGTGCTCAGGGACTTGTGCCTAAAGGCTCCACTTTGGGCAGCAGAGCCATTGTGTGGCCACTGCTGAGCTCCATGCGCTGAAGCTCTGCCAAGAAGCATCCCCTGGAAACAGAAGAAGAGATCCCCAATGGCTTCATGATTCAGGGACATAGGTGGGGAAACCCAATCCAAAGAAGGGGGCAGGATGGATCCTCCATTCCCTGGAGGCAGGTCCAAGGTTTATCCCAGGCTCGGAGGTGTGCATGGCCCCCCACCAAATAGGAAGAGCCATTTGGCCTTTGCAGCTTCCGCCTGGGGTGTTCATAGCTATATTTCCTGGCAACCAAGTTTCTTAGGTACCAGCACTCATAGGCAGAGAAAGCAAAAGATGTCTTGTTGAAGGCTTTCAAGGTCAGAATCACTGGGGCGTTGTGTGGTTTCCGGGCTGTATGACTGTGTTCTATCAGCATGTTCTCCTGATGTTTCACCCGCATCTGTGGCTAGCAATGCCACAGATGTGGGCGAAGCATCAGTAGAAAATACTGCTAGAACACAGCTCTACCACCCAGAAACCACACAACGCCCCAAAGCAAAAGATTTTGTAAAAGGAAAGCTCCCAAGATTCCCATAGCATTGAGACACGATGCTCAAAGTGGTGCCAAACTGTGCTCATTCATTTGTGTAGATGCACCCTTAGAAAAGAGTATTGACTATTCTCACATATAATATATGATTAAAGGAGACTTGCAAGGAACGGCTGCAGCAATGTCCGTTTTGCACCGTTTGCAAAAAAAACCCCGATGTGTTTTGCAAGATCCTCATTATGAAGATTGCGAATTCGAGGGATTCCCAGCGACAGGAACCGAGAACAGCTTTAGACATTTAGTAGCACTTTTCAGAAATTCGAGCTGCAATGCAATGATGCAACCCCAGCAGAACCATCTGGCCTGCAGAGTGCAAAATTCAAAGCAGGATTTCCTTTGTGGCCCGGCGCAGGGCTTTGCACCAGAGAAACGTGAGTGGGCCCAGGTGCTCTGCTATAAATCTTACTTGTTGGGGTTCAGTCTGATCCTGATCTGTGTGAACAGGATTCTCTGATATTTTTTCCAACTGAGCAAGCTCTCCCTGACTCTGACAGTGTGGAATCTGTTGTTGATGCAGAGGTCAGTGGGAATGAAAACGAAACCCAACAGCTAGAAGAGAATGTTTTGGAAGTTAGCCGTGATATCTCCCCACCTGGGGTTGATAATGAGGACCGAAGAGAACAGATAGTCAGAGATAGAAATGTTTCCCAGTCTGTACGAAGGTCACAGCGCTTACAGCAGAAAGAGGCCCAGACAGAAAAGTCAAGGGGTGTTTCTAAGAATAGCTTCTTTGGTTTAAGAGCGTCCCTGCCGGGTGCTTCTTTAGGTCAAGCAACGCTCGGGACTGTGGCTGGTCTTGGCAGAATTCCTGTGTTCCATGGCCAGTAATCCCAGAGGCTTCTAGTTTCCAAGTTCATGGTTAGTAAAAGGCTAACAGACTCCTGGTTATTGTTTTGTGGCTTTTGAAGTTTTGCTCAAGTTCAGAGATCCTATTGACTACTGTGTTTTTCTGTGGCTTTTTTACTCTGCATTTACCTTTCTTTTGTAACCAATTTTTTCATCAATAAACAAGGATTGCTTTTCCTACAGTCCAGAGTGGTGTATTTAAGCTTATGGTCTTGTTTCTTTAACTGGGATGCAGCATTACTAGACAGTTGGGTTTGTGATCATATTGACAGAAATAAAGGTTGGTATTTTAATAGTTCTGCACTTTGGTCAAATAATCATAGAATCATAGAATCAAATCTCCAAGAAGAAGGACAATCACGTTCAAAGCACCCCCAACAGATGGCCATCCAGCCTCTGTTCAAAAGCCTCCATAGAAAGAGCCTCCACCACCTGGTTGAGCCAAAAAATAAATGGTTCAAAACTCATTTCGGATGTAGGGAGCACTGGTGGTTTGATTCTAAAGTCACTTCCGGATTTTTCCAAAAATAATTTGAAACTTCTGAATCGATTCATTAATGCGGACGCGCATGCGCAGTAGGGAAAAACAGCACTGGTAAGGTCAAACCCAGATTTCCCCGCTTTCAAGCTGATCTGACCTGCAGCAGGGAGTTCCTCAGTTCTATATTACCCTGCTTGGGCCAACTTCCATGAAACGTGGCCACAGCAGCAGCTACAACCAAGAAGCCTTCTTATTGCTTCACTTTCTTCCCCTTCCTAACATTATAACAAATCCCCCAATAAAATATCCAATAATTGTAACTTTTTCTCTTCTTCTTGTTACTTTGTGTCTTTTACTGCCTCCAAACTCTCCTCTGTATAAACCTTTCCTCTCCCAGGCTGAAGATGGGTGCCGGCCTGCCTGGGATGTGATTTTTGCGTCCCAGGGAGGCTAAAACTGCGCTCCTCTGAACCGCGGATATGGAAACCCATTGGGGCCCCGTATCCACGAGTCAACGGATCGCTTCAAAATCCTGGGAGAATTCTAAGGCTAATGGCTATCTCACTTTCACTCCGCTAACCCCTCTGCCCCAGGAATAACAATTTTGGCTTCCAAAAACCCAACATGGAGCCCAGCTGGCTCCCCAACGGCACTGCATCATTGCTACCATTTCATCAATATAAAGAGAGCCTGTCAATCTGGGGAACCTGTCATAGTCAGCCCTGGGGATCCCCAAAATGTCAGTGCATGGTTCAAAACTGCATCGGAAGTCCAAAGTCGTATGTTTTCTTCCAACTTTCAGGCTTTTCCAAATGAACCTATCCAGCTCTAATTAAATCAATAAGAGTCCAGAATCTAGATCCAGGGAAGTCCTGCTCCCCATGCTCTATTCTGCCTTGGTTAGACCTCACCTGGAATATTGTGTCCAATTCTGGGCATCTCAATTGAAGAGAGATATTGACAAGCTGGAACGTGTCCAGAGGAGGGCGAATCAAAGGATCCAGGGTCTGGAGAACAAGCCCCATGAGGAGCGGTTTAAAGAGCTTGGCATATTTAGCCTGAAGAAGAGAAGCCTGAGAGGAGACATGATGAGGGCCATGTATAAATATGTGAGAGGAAGCCACAGGGAGGAGAAGGGAGCAAACTTGTTTTCTGCTTCCCTGGAGACTAGGATGCAATGGAGCAATGGCTTCAAACTACAAGAGAGGAGATTCCATCTGAACATTAGGAAGAACTTCCTGACTGGGAGAGCCGTTCAGCAGTGGAACTCTCTGCCCCGGAGGGAGTGTGGTGGAGGCTCCTTCTTTAGAAGGTTTTAAACAGAGGCTGGATGGCCATCTGTCAGGGGTGCTTTGCTCTGACCTACAAGAAGCACTGCCTGAATATCAAGAAAAAAGTGGGTGCTCGAAACAATATCATACGAAAGCTGATCGGCAAAACCTGGGGATCACAACCAGACACAGTGAAGACATACTGCCTTTGCAGTATGCTACTCTGCTGCTGAGTACGCATGCCCACGACATGCAAGTGTGGAGAAGAGCAAACTACAGCAATGCAACCTGAGCCCTGCCACATGCACAATGGAGGACCTCCTTGCGGCAACACCAGAGGCACTCCAAGGGGACAGAGACTGGTCAACGGACATTTAATCAACTACCAAGCTTGCAAACTTTGTGTTTTGTCTGTCTGTCTGTTTGTTTGTTTGTTTTGTTAAAAATGTAATACAACTGTCTGGCTGCTCCTGACACTATAAATATAAAAATAAGGGGGTGCTTTGAATGCAACATTCCTGCTTCTTGGCAGAATGGGGTTGGACTGGATGGCCCATGAGGTCTCTTCCAACCTTATGATTCGATGATTCTATGTGTAGAATTGGTAGAGTGCCACTTGTGGAGTTTCCTGTGCAAACTGGAAAAGAAGGTCACCATGTGCACCGTGCAGTGTGCTAAGATGTGAACGGACGTGACCGGAGAGTGTGGTGTACATATTTTGTAAATAAAGCAAGAGTGCCGCTTTTGTTGAAAGCGGAATGGATGAGTCCGGAGTTTTCCAACTCCGTGCCTTCAAGAAGTTCCTTGCGAGGTCGAAGCAGCAGAGAGGGTGGGAGCTGATGTGCAAACAGACCTTGGCCCCAAATCGGGGCGCACAAGACCCTTTAAGGAAACAAACAAACCCAGATACAAGGGAAACATTTTTACTAGCAACAGCACTGAAGCACAACTTAGATTATTTTTTAAAAAAAACCACAATACTGAAGTACAAGAAGTAGGGCGCCGTTCTGTGAAAAGCCCCACCTTCAGCTGTAGCAAAGTACGTAAAGAGACCACCTGAGCCAAGCATGGACCAGGTTCGAATGCTGGGATGGAGGCCACATTGAAGAGGAGGAGGAGGAGGAGGAGGAGGAGGAGGGATCCAGCTTGTTCTCTTCTGCTCCGGAGACTGGAACACAACGGAGCCATGGATTTAACTTCCAGAGATTAGGAATTGTGGGAGCTGAAGTCCAAAACACCTGAAGGGAGGGTCAAAGTTGGTCCACACCTGATCTGAACCACCTTTGCCTGCAAATGGAAGGAAGGAGAGATGGTGAAGTCGAACATGACCCCCCCCCCCCATAAGAGCTAGTAACTTATAGTTTTGCTAAGGGCAAGGACGCCAGGCTGGATAATAAGGGTTAAGCCTTGGTCAGTTTGGTGTGTATCATTTAATCAAGGCTTTATGCCCTATTTTCATATGTTTACAGCAGAAAGTAACCCATTTATTACTGAAAATCATGCCACAAAAGTATTTGACTTTTCCCACCTGAGGCACACCTGATGGGCTCCTGAGGGTCCCCCACCTCACCAACAAGGGACTCTCTTTCCCCCTCATGGAGATATTTCCCTTTATGGACTATGGACTTAGGATATATTTTCATGATTTTCCTTGTGGCTGAGGTTTCCTCGACCTTTTCCTCCCCTTTCCCTGTGATGGAATCCCACCTGGAAGTGCCCCCCCCCCTCCCGATACTGAAAGGGTGCCGAGCCTAAATCAATCCCAAAGGACTTTTATCAACACATCTTTTGCATGGACAGAAACAAAGGCGACATCCTTGCCCTCGGAGTTTCGCCCAGCAGGGAGGTCGCCCCTTGGCAGACTTTTCCTTACTTTTCTAATTGGAGATGGGGGGGGGGGGCGCCTTCAAAAAGCATCCCCATTTCCGCCCTGTTGCCCCATTCAATCATTCTTCAAAAACTTCGCCCAGCATCGCCCCTTTTGTTTTGCCGCCACAGAAAGCCTGGATTTTCCTGTTTGTATTCAATTATCACCATTCATGAATCAACAGAACTGATTAGAACGCCCTTCCTGGGACTCATTAAGCCGCTGGCATTTCCTTACTTCATAATCCATTCAAGTATCCATTGTTTTTTAACCCTCGTCCAGCCTCCCTCCCTCCTGATTCGTCGAGACGCCAGAGCGGTAGAAGCCTTTTCATTGGCCCTGACGCACTGCAGCGGCTCCCTGATTGGTCCAGATGCGCCGGGGGTGGACGAGCCCCTCCCAGCTGTTGGCACGTCAGCCAATCACGACGAAGACAGGCCGGGGGACGGGCGCGGGAGATTTGAACCGTACAACTCTGTATTTCTATAAAAACTAGCATTTATTTCTGTAACCACATGCTCTGCTTGGCAAATGATTGCTGCATTGCATACTTTTCAGCTGAATCGCTAATAAACATCTCGGTGGCACTTCCTTCCACTTGGTGAGACCTTTTATTGGGAAAAATCAAGGATTGGGTGCTTCTCTCTGTCTCGCCAGGGTAACAAACTCTTTAAGGAGTCTGAATGGTCTCTGCCTCCTGGCAAAGACCCCTAAATTCCAGCTCTAGAACAATTGGAGAGGAAAGGGCTTGCCTCCTTTGGCGGGGAGTCCCACAGGGTCCCTCTCTGGACCAAGAGGCAGCTGGAAGATGACCCATGGCTCCGTTGTGCTCCTGGAGCCGAAGAGAACAAGCTGGACGCCTTCTCCTCCTCCTCCTCCTCCTCATGTGGCCTCCTTTCTAGTATTCCAACCTGAATGGTTCCCCCTGGCCGCTTACTTCCACCCGGTGACCTGGGACCTCCCACTGCAGGCGGCCTGGGCCTCCCTCATGCTCCACGCAGCGCTCTGCAGCTCTGAGGCATTGAGGTGGTGGATGACCATCAGGTAGCGGTAGTTGCAGAGGTGCCAGCGGGCATTCTGCTTGGCGAAGCGGGCACTGGTTGTGGGCCGCAGCCCTGCCTTCTGGGCCAGGATGCCCACAAAGGCGTCCTCCACCGGGATGGGGGGCACCCGTTCTGCCACCTGCAGGATCCGCCTGGCCGCCCCAAGTGAGAGGAGGTAGCCGATGCCGCTGGCGTAGGGTGGGTATTCCTCCAAGGGGTAGTCCTCCCTGGAGACGTACCACTTGCTGGCCGGGTGCCGGATGACACGGCGCTTCTCCCGTGGAAAAACAGAGCCGGCGTAGAGCAGGAGCCCACCATGCCAATACTGGGCCAGGAATGCCGGCAGCCGGTTGGTGTTGACGAAGCAGTCGTCATCTGTCTTGAGGATGAAGCGGGGTCGACACCGCTCTGTGGCCCACTTCAGGCCGTGCAGCACCTTCAGAGTCAGGTTGCGGTAGGCGTCCAGGTAGCCCCCCAGCAGGACATCCCCAAACTCCTGCTGCTCCCACCGGACCTGCCGGGCAGCCTTCTCATCCAAACTTTGGCCAACCAGGAACACGGCCTGCCAGGGGTGCAGCGGTGAGAGAGGCCTCTTTGCCCAGGTGTTCCGGATCACCTTCCGGGGCCCCACATTCCCAGGGGCCGAAGCCACAAGGATCAGCAGCGTTTGCCCTGGCTCACAGTGTGGCTCGAGGGCACTTCCTGAGAAGAGGGACCCAAAGTCCACTCCTGGAAGGGCCGGTGCTGCGGTGCCCTCGTGGTGGCGAGTGGGGTTCCACCAAGTCCCCTGGGCATCCTCCATCAGAAGCAACAGCCGCAAGCCCGGTGAGAAGGAGAAGGAGAAGGAGAGGAGGAGGGTGCCGAGGAGGCAGCAGCCCAGCCCTTTCCAGCCCCAGAGGCCCCTCAGGCCCATCTGGGACAAGGCTCTTCTCACATCCTGCCGTGGAGCTGCATTCCTCCCGATCAAAGGGCAAACGTTGCCCAGACAGAAGGAATGCCAAGAGCTGCTGGCCAGACGCCCGCCGGGTGCCGCATTAACCTGGCTGAGGCCAAAGGGCAAGAGAAGCAGCTGCTGGCAAGAGAAGCAGGGCATGCTCCATGCATCCAGGAGGCCCCTTGGGATGGAAGGCAACCCTTTTCGCAAGCCTCTGAGTGCAGTGCCCCATCTCTGCATCTTGGTCCCAGTCTGGGTTGATGGGACTCTGCCAGCCTGGAGAACTGGCTGCCTATGGCAAGACTGGCAGGGCAATCGATGCCGCTGCTCTGGACAATTTCCACAAACCCTGTGAAAGCACTTCTCAAAGGCAGGGAGTGACACTGCTGGCCCATCTGAACCACGCTCTTGGGAACCCGAGTGTCTTAATTACGCACAAGGAGACACGCAGGAAGAGAAAGGCCCGCTTGCCAGCAGAAAGGGCAAGTCTGGGATCCGGCTGCCCACGTGACCCTGGCTTAAAATCAGACTATGACAGTGATTCTCAACCTTCCTAATGCCGCGACCCCTTCGTGCAGGTGGTGGTGACCCCCAACCATAATATTATTTTCGATGCTACTTCACAACTGTAATATTGCTCCTGTTATGAATCATAATGTATATATCTAATGTGTAGAATGTATTTTCATTCACTGGTCCAAATTTGGCACAAATACCCAATACTCCCAAATTTGAATACTAGTGAGGTTGGGGGTGATTGATTTGGTCATTTGGTAATGCTGGAGTTGCTGGGATTTATAGTTCACCTAAAATCAAAGAGCCTTCCGAACTCCACCAATGATGGAATGGAATCAAACAGAATTCCCATGACCAGGAGAAAATGCTGGGAAGGTCTGGTGAACATTGACCTTGAGTTTTTTGGAGTTGTAGTTCACCTACATCCAGAGAACACTGTGGACTCAAGCAATGATGGATCTGGATCAAACCTTGCACAAATACTCAGTATGCCCAAATGAGAACACTGGCAGAGTTTGGAGAAAATAGGCCTTGCCATTTGGGAGTTGTAATTGTTGGGATTTATAGTTCACCCACAATAAAATAGCATTCTGAACCCCACCAATAGAATTGGACCAAACATTCCACACAGAACCCCCATGACCAACAGAAAATACTATGTTTTCTGATGGTCTTTGGCGACCCCTTTGACACCTCCTCGCGACCCCCCATGGGGGTCCCGACCCCCAGGTTGAGAAACACTGGACTATGGGAAATGGATCATGGAGTTGTCCTGTTGTTATTATCACTACATTTATTATACCCCACTTTTTCTCTCTTGTAAGAGACTCGAGGTGGTGAGGAGTGAGAAAAACAAACATCCGACTTTCTGGTGAGTTTTAATCTGGAACTCTGGTTACTAATTTTGGTTCGCAACGCTCGCCAGGCTGAGCCTTCCTTTTATTGCGGTCTAAATCCCCTCTCACCCACACCACACAATGTAGGGATTTGGGGGCACATCATTCAATCAATCCACAAGGAAAGGTTTTTGAAGGACACCCTTTCAAAGGAGAGGCATGGCCCAAGACTCCAGAGGACAGGAGCAGGATTCAAAACGATCTTGACAGATTAGAGAGATGATGGGCCAAAACTAACAAAATGAAGTTCAAGAGGGACAAATGCAAGAGACTCCACTTTGGCAGGAAAAACGAAATGCAAAGAGACAGAATGGGGGACAATGCTTGGCTCGAGAACAGTACGAGTGAAAAAGATCTTGGAGTCCTCGTGGGGAGGAAGTTAACATGAGCCAGGAATGTGATGTGGCGGCAAAAAAAGCCAATGGGATTTTGGCCTGCATCAATAGGAGCATAGTGTCTAGGTCCAGGGAGGTCATGCTCCCCATGCTCTATTCTGCCTTGGTTAGACCACACCTGGAATATTGTGTCCAATTCTGGGCACCACAATCCAAGAGAGATATTGACTCTAAGCTGGAATGTGTCCAGAGAAAGAGGGCGACTCAAAGGATCAAGGGTCTGGAGAACAAGACCTATGAGGAGCGGCTTAAAGGGCTGGGCATGTTTAGCCTGTGAGAGGAAGCCACAGGGAGGAGGAGGGAGCAAGCTTCCTTTCTGCTTCCCTGGAGACTAGGACGCAATGGGACAATGGCTTCAAACTACAAGAGAGGAGATTCCATCTGAACATGAGGAAGAACTTCCTGACTGTGAGAGCCGTTCAGCAGTGGAACTCTCTGCCCCGGAGGGAGTGTGGTGGAGGATCCTTCTTTGGAAGCTTTTAAACAGGGGCTGGATGGCCATCTGTCAGGGATGATTTGAATGAAATATTCCTGCTTCTTGGCAGAATGGGGTTCAACTGGATGATGGCCCAGGAGGTCTCTTCCAACTCTAGGATTCTATGACTCTATCCCAGCAGAAAGGGCAAATCTGGAAGCCGGCTGCCCACATGACCCTGGCTTAAAAGCAGACTATGGGAAATGGATCCAGGAGTTGTCCTGTTGTGATTATCACTACACTTATTTATATCCCACTTTTTCTCTCTTGTAAGAGACTCAAGGTGGTATTTATTTATTTATGTATCGTCTCAGGAGCAAACCAAACAGGTGTATTGCACACCATTCAGTTGATGAGGAGATATTGGAAAAATAGATATTGATTTATGTGTAAATTGTATGTACTTTATAAGCACGGAAATGTATAGAAAAATCAGGCTCTCTCTCTCTGTATAGAAAGAATGCTAACGGAGAAGCAAGCTGCTGTCCAGGCACAGCAAGAGGGGAGCTGAAGAGGGGGGCATGTTATCTATACATTCCAGGAGAGAGATAAGCCTGTCCCAGTAGCAAAAGACTGGTACAACTAGGCTCTAAAAGGAGCCCCCCCCTCCTGACAGGTCAAAGTGGGCCCCTTGATTGATGAATGTAAGATGCTTACTCTTCAGAAAGACAGAGACATGCCTTTTGTATGTTGGAAGGTAGAACTTGATATTTGTATGATGCTAAGATGACACAATGAATGATGTCAATGTATGTAGACGCATGTTCTTTGTTTGCTTGCATTTGGAGACTATAAAAGGGAAAGTCCACACCTATATCATTGCTCTGGTGCTTTTGGACAGAACTCCTCACCAGAGTCCCAGCTGGAAATAAAGCTGTACTTTTCTTTTCTCTGGAAAGGGTCTCTCTTGATAGTATCTCTCCTCTCTATCTATCCTGAAACACAATCAATCCACAAGGAAAAGCTTTTGAAGGACACTCTTTCAAAGGAGAGACATGGCCCAATGGTGCAAAGGGAGGACCTTTCCAGCCTCCGAGTGAAGGGTGTCCCTTGAGGGACATGCGGCAGCCCTGACATTGGCCTGACTGCCCTTGAGCAGCCAGCACAGAGGGCTGTGGAGGAAGGCACTAAGGAGGAAAGGGACCTCATGGCGGAAGCAGGCTTAAGCCCAGTACTTCCTCCTGGCCAGTGGTTGCCTGTGGCGACCTTTGTGATGCACGGAACCCTCCCAAGGCCTGGCCACGCCACTGCCCAAGAGCCGTGGGCCTCGGCCGCAGCCTCTCCATGGACTTCCTGGCCCTTTTGGATGAATCCCTGCTGGACAAAGAATGCTGTGTTCCTATTGAGTTCCTCCTGGTCGTATGCATCAATATGGTCACTTTGTACATTCTGTACAGCCTCCTGCAAAGCTTCCCTCCGTGGCAGAACCTGCGCCGCTGGTGCCTCAGCCTCTGGCCCCTCAGGGGACGGGTGAGGACTTTCGCCCCTATGACTGACCCCAAGGCCCAGGGTGGAGCATTTCTGCCCCTCTATATGCCTATTCATGTTGTTATTACTTTGGGAGTCTCCCTTCTCAGAAACCACAATAGCTATTAGAAAGGCAGGTGCATGCAAGGGACCCTCCTCCCTTGGATTGAGTGGTGTTGGGGAACTTCTGTTTGAACTCCTGGCCGTTAACCTGTGGGGTCCCTCAGGTCTCCGTTTCTCCCCCATGATGTTCAGCATCTCCATGAATTCACTGGGAGAGGTCACCTGGAGTTTTGGAGTACGGTGTCACATATCATAGAATCCTAGAATCCTCGAGTTGGAAGAGACCTCCTGGGCCATCATCCAGTCCAACCCCATTCTGCCAAGAAGCAGGAACATTGCCTTCAAAGCACCCCTGACAGATGGCCATCCAGCCCCTGTTTAAAAGCTTCCAAAGAAGGAGCCTCCACCACACTCCTGGGGCAGAGAGTTCCACTGCTGAACGGCTCTCACAGTCAGGAAGTTCTTCCTCATGTTCAGATGGAATCTCCTCTCTTGTAGTTTGAAGCCATTGTCCCTGCGTCCTAGTCTCCAAGGAAGCAGAAAACAAGCTTGCTCCCTCCTCCTCCCTGTGGTTTCCTCTCACATATTTATACATGGCTATCATATCTCCTCTCAGCCTTCTCTTCTTCAGGCTAAACATGCCCAGTTCCCTAAGCCGCTCCTCATAGGGCTTGTTCTCCAGACCCTTGATCATTTTAGTCGCCCTCCTCTGGACACATTCCAGCTTGTCAATATCTCTCTTGAATTGTGGTGCCCAGAATTGGACACAATATTCCAGGTAAAGTGGTCTAACCAAAGCGGAATAGAGCATGGGGAGCATGACTTCCCTAGATCTAGACACTAGGCTCCTCTTGATGCAGGCCAACATCCCATTGGCTTTTTTTGCCGCCACATCACATTCCTGGCTCATGTTTCCCTTCCTCCCCACAAGGAGTCCAAGATCTTTTTCACACGTAATCCTCTCGAGCCAGGCATTGTCCCCCATTTTGTATCTTTGCATTTCGTTTTTCCTGCCAAAGTGGAGTATCTTGCATTTGTCACTGTTGAACTTCAGCATCTCCATGAATTCACTGGGAGAGGTCACCTGGAGTTTTGGAGCTTGGTGTCACATATATGCAGATGCAATATTCCTGCTGAATGCAATATTCCTGCTTCTTGGCAGAATGGGGTTGGACTTGATGGCCCAAGAGGTCTCTTCCAACTCTTTGATTCTATGATTCTATGATTCCCGGCTCTCCTGCTCCTTCCCACCAAAAGCCAAGGAAGCTGCTCTGATGTTGAACCAGAGCCCAGACAGGATGAAAGCAAACAAACGGAAGCTTCACCCAGGCAAGACCGAGGTACTCCTGGTCAGTTGGAAGGCAGACCAGGGAATTGGGATCCAGGCTGTGCTAGAGGGGGTCACA